AGTATGTGCCGGCAGGGGACTGAGAAAGAGTAGGTAAGTCACAGCTCTGTGCAATATCCTTGCACAAAGCAGATAACCTCTTAGTATCATTTAATCCACGTAGACACCATTCCTCACATACGTAAAGTGTTTCTTGATAGAGTCCCTTTTGGCATGGCGTGGCAGTCCTGTGACAAACAATGTCTGTTTCACCTGTCAAAAAAAACATAAATGTAATACAAATGTAATAATCTAGGCACTTGCAACGTTTATTAGAAGTCAAACTATTTTTTATACTCCTGGTGTCACACCCAATGCTCTTGATGCTCCACATCACTGAGAACAAGACACTGAGGTCTGTGGATAAAGGGCAATCATTGTTAAAATTAGCAGAGTACTAAAGCAGGGTGCTGTGATGATTTAAGGAAGCTACGAATAGCATCCTGCCGCCCCCTTCCACAAGCCATGACCTGCCTACACTGCATAGTGAAGCAAAGAGACCGAGCTATGACATTTAAAATGTAATCACGTCTTTTGAGGGGGGGGGGGGGTTCTAAGGAGGGCAAAATATAAGAAAAATCAACTTCAAGTTCAAACTTTCACTTTAAGATGCTTTTGCTGCAGAGCAAACTCCAGAATCATTTTGCTGCCTACCGGTGCACCTGTAGATCCTATGATTTTATTTATATAGATATATATGTATATACACACACACACATCATGTATCCATATATCAGGAAATGTTTCTTGATGGTTCTGGCAAACCCCCTCCATATGCATTTTAAATATTTAGAGATCATCTGCAGACTAATGAAGACGGAAATGTATGCAGATTCAACAACAAGAGTGTTTCATCCGGTGTACTTCCACAAGAAGTTAAATCTCTAGTAGTCTGACTTTCTCCAATTTCAAGCTCTGATTATGGGATACCACTAGAACTTTCAAAACAAGCTGGCTGATTAATACACTTTACCTAAGCTTTACCAATGGCTCAGGACTTTCTTTTTTGATCTAACATTCAATGACTCTTGGGTGCCATTTTCAAGTGTCTGCATTGCTGTGGAGACATTCTGGGGCAAGGGGGTCCACTTGGTACCCTGTTACACCCCAATATGGTTAGAACATGTAACTTGGTGTAATAAATTAAGCTAGCCCTTAATCCAGCTCTGCCCTAAATGGCATAATGTGCAGCACCAACACCACCTTCTGCAGCAACAGAACCAATCCAACTGTGTTAACACCTAGCTACTACATTGGCATCTGACCTCTCTACAGAACCCTCAGCTCAACCCCAGTGCCTGCCTTCATCTTTACAACATACATACTTTTCCTCTGCTCCACCCAATGCTCCACATGAACTTTTCTGCCTCTGGGAAGCAGCACAGACAATCTTAGATACTCATTAGAAATACGTCTCACAGTAATGTGATGAATTTCACAACTTGCAAAAGATTCCTGTACATGTCAGCAAGGTTTACATGAGTCTGGCGCAGAATAGTCTTAGGTGTATTTTGGTGCAGACAGATGCTTACACATTCCTGATGAAGAGGTCCTGCGATACTCTGAAACATTGCCTTGCTGTAACCATGTAAGCCTTTATTAAAGCCTTTTTAGACCCATATTTAAGATCCTTGGTGTGCCGGTAACATTTCTACTCTGTCCTCTCAGATGCTTGCACAACTGACGCAATTTAGTCCAACATGGAAGAGGTCTTATTTACCTCCACTTTCTCAATCACCAATATGGCAGAATTTCTTTAGGAATTTGTCACAACAGGGCAAATAAAAATTACACAAAGTTGTCGTATACACCAGCACTAATAATGAAATTGGTGCACAGGTTTCCTGACTTTGACATAAGGCTTCCAACTACATACATGCCCCTAGAAAAAGCACATAAAATGCCTTCTTGAATCCCCCCAAATGTGTTTCTGTACATTTATCTATTGTTGGTGAAACATTTTTAAAAATAACTGGAACTTTTCCCTGTAGGGAAAAAGTTAGATCATTTTTAAATTTCTTTTAATTTTTCTATAGATTAGGATGCTGTTTTTTTAGCTACTTTTTCTGTCTATCAGAAATGTCACCTCATTTCCTGTCCCAGAGCTACATCAAGAAAAAAGTGAGTAAATCCCTTCTTAGACAAATTAAAGTGAACAGGTGTCCCCGTTGCAAGATTCCCCTTCACCTCCTGTTCTTGCGACAACTATAACATTTTATCCAGCAAAAGTGAATTGCACAGAGGTCTTCATAGTAATATAAAATTAGCTCTTTTATTGCATGTAAAAAACGGCATGGCTCTCTCAAGCTGATATACTTCAGGCGTGAATCACACTGCTGGAGATTTATGCTGATGGATAAAAATCTAGGAGGTCAACAATCGATGGAAAACTCCATTACCCAGCACCGATTCTGCACATACCGTATCTTCATCCTTGTACTTGATGGCAGATGTATGATGTCTCATGAGGAAGACTATGATAATCAGAAAGACCACTCCGATAACTGTATGAAGCCACAAGAGGTTGTCACTGCAAACAGAAATACAGCAAGTGATCAGCAATTTATAAAACATAATCTATGGAAACACACACATTTCTGTCTTGACATAAGATGCTTATATAAAGGTAATATTCCTTTGAAGTATACCTACAAGAAAACAACCAATAACCCAGATGAAATACATGTGTTGATTGTAATATCTTCTAATAGATTTGTAATTTGGTTAAGTTAGTCTTGTGATCTAGACTTCTGTTCCACACTTACCACTCCACTGATTCTGAATTCATATTACGTCTTGATAACCAGCCTGCATATGGAGCAGAAGGGATTAGGCCCCTTTCACATGTCCATTCCCATCAGGTCTGACTGTCAGTTTTTCCAGACAGACCTGAACAAATGTCCAGTCATCTCTATGGATCAGCAGGTTCAAGGAGACTTGTGTTCGTTTACACAAGCATACCTCCGATCTGATCCGGTCCGCTAAAAACAAAAAAGTGGAAGAACTGTTGTCCTCCATGAAGGCAGATCAGATTGATCAGATGAAGGCAGAACGGGCTTGGTCAATGGCCACTCTGCATAAACTGAGCGGACACGGAACTGTCATCTGCTTGCCCTGCAGTGATCAGCAGGGGATCGGTGGAAGGATCCCCTGCTGAGCAAAGCGGATCTGCCCCATGTGAAAGGGGCCCTATTCCAATTCTCAATCCCCCTCTCTCATTTGACACAGCTAGGTGCCTCATGATTGGCCTAATACAGTTACAGGGGGCCGGGGAAGGAGCCCATAGCCTTTCCATAAACTATATTTATTCACTTGAAATGTGCCTAGAAAGTTTGCCTTCTTCAGGAAAAGTATATTCCCTAATACAGCCCACTACCCTCTTGCAAGTCACAGCCCTCTCCTCTTCTGGGAGTTTCTAATTACCCTCTGTGCTGCTCCAGCTCCTCTGCCACACCCCTCATCTCCTTACATAACTATTTATGAAGATGCAAATGGAAGAAGCAAAGGGGAATACTAGTGTAACTTTAATGATAGCTCTGAGTTTGAGCCATCTTGGAGTTTTATGTCCACACAAAGAAGGGAATAATATGCATAAAATATTTTAAAGCAGAGGTGCTCAACCTGTGGCCCTCGGAGTGCTCAGATTTGGCCCTTCACCTCAAACCAGGGAAGCGCACTTCTATTTTTACCCTGCTGGGTTGATGCGCTTCCTGAAAGAGCACCAAAACTCCGGAATGCAGGAGTTTTGGTGCACTTTCAGAAAGTGTTCCACACTTGCAAGATATAATAGAAGTCTATGGCAAAGCGCAGCTAACCCGCAGGTGCACTGCACTACACAGCAGCACTGCACTACACAGCAGCACATCAGTGTGAAAGCAGCCTTATAGGGGGGCTCAGGACAGTAGAGGCTGGTTTACATTTGCAGTTTGGGGAGTATTAAAGAGCCCCATAGTTGATACATGTTTTTACACACACCCCCAACCATTGGTGTAGCATCAGGGGTGGCAATGGTGACCCCGCACCATGGGGCCCACATGGCCTGTCACATTTCTCTTTTACTTGGCCAGAAGGGGTGGCGAGAGCAACATATACAGGAACCAATGCTCTCCATTTTCCTCCTGCAAGCCCTGAAAGCCAGCTTCTCCTCCCCTCCCTCCTGCAGCTGCAGGAGGAAAATGTTCATTATGCTATTTAAAATAAAAAATTTGGAATTCTGAACCATTTCATTTCATTGTGGTCTGCTACTGGATACCAAATCACCTAGTGACCTTCGCACTTCAAAAGGCTGGGCACCCCTGTGTTAAAGCAATATTAAACCCCAAACCAAAAAATGTGATATATTGCAGCTTTCCAATTATCAGATGTGGTGGTTGTGTTAGATTTCTTTTTTTTTTACTTTTTCCCTCTGTTTTCCTGGTGATCTGGCCAGTAACACACACCATGTATAGAGATGCCTACACTCTGGATGAAGCAGCAACAGAGACACTTATGAACAGCAGTATTATCAGTCTTGGGGGAGGTACTAGCAGATTTAGATACACTAACCATATTGAAGCCAAATGCCAGCTCACACTTTAAGAAGTTACAGTAAATTTGTTTCCCTTTTGGGATAAAGGTTTTGAGTAAATAAATTAAAAAAAGCGGATTATTGTAAGCATCCATCAGTGGTAAGTGGTTTGTCTAAAACATGTAACTGCTACATCTGCAGGAAAGCTAGTTCTGCTGGAAAACACCACACTTACTGGCAGGATAAACAGGTGAAAATAAAAGAGAACCCCTAAAAAAGAAAACTAATGCAGCCATCACATCTAAGAATTGGTAAACTGCAATATAATAAATGTTTGATTTTGGGTTTAATAACCAATTTAAATGAACATGAGTGACTAGCTTTACCCTGCACGGACAAATGAAACAGGTACTTTAGGGTCAACCATTATTCTATAACTGCAAAATTCTCCAAAAGATTGTTGAAGGGAAACCGGTGTAAAATGAGCCAACACTCACTCATGCTGTAGGTTAGCAATTGTTGTCCTCCCAAAGCTTAGAGGATCGGCGTCTGTTGGAGGAAGAGAAACACTTTAGTTCAATCCACAAAAATAATAAAACAAATATGTAAAGACCGCATGTGAAGGATAACTGCACATTAAATACAATGCATTCATCCCTGGACCTATCCTAACCCACCCTCCCCCTCCACAGAAGCTCACCTCCACACATTGGCTGAAGTTCTGCAATTTGTTTACATCCAGACTCTCACTGTCCTGGCTAAGCCTGTGCATTTATTCCCCATGGGGACTGTGCCTGAGGCCGAAGATGATCAGAGATGTCCCATACAAGGCTATGGGGATGTAATGCACAGGTGCATCCACAACTGTGACCCTTGGTGGTGCTGGATGTAAACAAACAGCAGAACTGCAGCTCTTTGGTTGAGGTAGGCAACTTCAGAAGGGGAGAGTGGGATTGGTTAGGTCAGAAAAAAAAAAAAGATAGGTGCATGCTATTTTCCAATGGACTTGCCTTTAGAAAAAAAAACTATAATGGGCGTGAGACAATTTTATTATCAATGTCTTAAACAAATGTTTTAATCTTTCTTTTTGAGTTTTGTATAAAATTGTGGTTTACAAATAAACATTTAAAAAGTGAATGTAAAAAAAAAAAAAAAAAAAAAAAGCTCAACAGTCCTTATAAATGGTTGCTGCATTCCTTTTCTTCCCCTTTAGTTTTTTTAACCTGATGATCCAGCTAGTAGCACACTTCCTGTCTTAGGGTGACAACACTCGCTCAGCGTACTGTATCTATGGCAGGGAAGTCACCAAAGCTTAGGACTACAGGACACTTACCTCTCTCCTGATCTCTAAAACAGGGAGGGCAATCTTCTGTAGTCCACAAAGAGGGCTTCGGATAACACACTTTTTGAACAGATATAACAGAATGTTTTCAATGGGATAAGTAGGAAACCAAAAGACAGCAAATAGGAGACGTTCATTGTAAGCTTTTATATATTCTTTAAACTTTTAGTAAACATGGTACACCCTCTTTAAAACATTCTTTACATCAACCAACAACCATGTAGCTTGAAAGCCTTCCTAAACTATTTAATTCATATGCAGTAAGGCAGGCCCTCACATTACATAGGTGTATGTTTATTACCTACGATCTGGCCTGTTTTTACACATCACAACCCTGCACCGTGAATAAATCTCTCAGAGCAGAGCTGGTTTATCACCGTTTGCACTTCTATTCTCTGACTGAGGAGGTAAGATAATTATTATTACAGGTACTTATATAGGGTTTGGTATGGATTTTGGAGGGGGGGGGGGCCCACACCATTTTTTTTTTTATTTTGGCGTGGGAGTTCCCCTCAAAATCCATACCAGACCCGAAGGGCTTGGTACAGATGGGAGGGGGGACCCCACGCCATTTTTTAAATTATTTTTTTTAATAGCCAGCAATTCTTTTACATTCAGCTGTCAGTGGGGAACCCCACTGACAGCTGAAATATTAACACATGGTTGTCACTACTAAAATGCCGCATGACTTGATAAAATAACTCATGCGGTATTTTAGTAGTGTTTACTTTTTTTCTGACCTCCGGAACGGATGAATTGCTTTTCAATGAATTCCTATGGGAAAAGGCGTTTTGGTTTACGAATTTTTCACTATACGAAAAGTCCTGCAGAACAAATTAAATTCGTAAACCGAGGTATTACTGTATATATTGTACATTCACATCAGTCCCTAGCCCTCAAGGGGCGTATAATCTAAGGTCCCTAACTTACATTCATACATACACATACTAGGGATAATTTAGACAGGATCCAATTCACCTACCAGCATGTCTTTGGAGTGTGGGAGGAAACCAGGGTACCCGGAGGAAACCCACGCAGGCACAGGGAGAAAATGCAAACTCCAGGCAGGAGGTGCCGTGGCTAGGATTCGAACCAACGACCCTAGTACTGCCAGGCGGAAGTACTAACCATTTAGCCACTGTGCTGCCATCTTAACCCCTTCTTGCCATGGCATCTTTCAAAAAAAAAAAAATGAAATGCCCGAGGGGTGGGAAGGATCGGCGATCATGTGACCACTGTGATTGGCTATCACGAGGAGGAGTTGGTCCCACCAGCTACCTATGGTTAGTTCAGATCAAGAGTGGTCTTTTAGGGGCACCACAGTGGCCAGGTGTTTAGCAGTTCCGCCTGACAGTACGTCGATTCAAACATGAAGAATTCAGGCAAAGCTTCCTGGGAAAAAGGATAAAATAAGCTGTTCTAAAAGAAAAAAAAAAAAAATGACTTTTGGGTTAATGGCACTTTTACAGGACAGAACCTTTGGGTCTGCCTTGGCTGGACATACACTTTCAATTATTGGCCCTGACACCAGAAATCTCTTCCCTTTGCAGTGTGGCTTTATTGCAGCCATGGAAGCGGTCTTCCCCACAGACTATACTTACCAAGCAAACTGCCAGAAAGATTAACCGGTAATATGGCAAGCATTGCCAGGAGATTGCCGACAACCAGGAAGCATATGATGTGGCGCTGGAAAGACAAGTAGTGACAAGCATCTTCCCCGCATCGCTCATAGATGTCTTCATCACTATGGAGGGAGGAAGAAGAGTTAGTTCTGTGGGTTTTAAAACATGCTGCAATAATCAAATGTGTTTTCAGTACATATGTATTTTTCTTCATCATTGTTACCATAAAGTAGCTGTGAAGTCAAGTCAACCCTTACAGACATTCTAATAGGTATTGTTATACCTTTACATAAATATAAAGAACAACGCTTATATACCATTTTACAGTGATTCTTGGTGCAGGTCACATGATCACATTTCCTCCTTTAGCGCATCATGGACCTGCGGGTGGGAGTGACCAACTCAGGGGCACCAACAGAGAAGCTTCACTGATGGGGAAGCCGCTGTCCACCAAGAGAGGCGGGGTGGGCGTGGCTACAATCTGACCACGGAAGATACAAGCACGCAATGCGCTTGCACAGCATGCCTGTAATTCCTGAACAGGATCAGAAAGGACACAAACTGAGCACTCTATCACGGATCAGCTTCCATGCATAGACTGGTCAGTTTGTAACTAGGAAGTGAGACAATGGCAGGATCAGTCAGGCATTACCGAAGAAGCACAATCAGAAATAACAAATATATAACACAACTGTTTACAGCCTTAAACAGATAGATGTATTATATTTTATTTTTAAAGTTAAAAACACGTTAAAACCCATTTCGAGTCAAGCCAGTGCGATACAACACCTCCTCACTGCTTGCCAACTGCTCTCTGAAGAGCGATTCAAACACAGATTCCTCTTCAAAGACCAACATTAGTGTGAAAGAGTTCTTTGATGCTTTTTTATGCATACCTAAGTTCAATATCAGTTTCCCTCACCAGCACTGCTTTGGGAGTCGTGACTAGTGGATCTAACACTGCAGTGGACTGGTCACTTCTTCCTGATGCCATCTCTCCTCTGCAGTCCTCTGAGGACCCCCAGTGATGGACAGCCAACCAGAAATGTCCACATCACCAAGCAATGAAGTAACCTGAAGAAGGACCCGACTCCTCCATGGGAAATAGAAAACTCGGGAGCCACAGCATCATGTGACCACAGATTTAGGCAGAACAGTTTATTTAGAAACTAACTACGAACTATCCGGAGGGCAATGGGAAGGCCGAGTGACCAGGGATCTGCTTTAACGTTGTTTTTAATTTTTAAGCCACTTGTCCACCGTGGCAAATTCTTTATTTTTTACACTCATGTTAAAATCTGCATTTTTTCAGGAAATTACCTTGAAACTTCAATAACTTATACATTTTCTTAAAGCAGAGGCCCTGTAGAATAAAATGATGGCAGTTGCATCTCTTTACGTCACGCAAAATTCGTGCAACTGTTTATCAAATGCAGATTTTCATGAAAAAAATACACTAAAATGAGTTTTGATGCAAAACACAATAGGTGCAGTGTATACTGGATACCAAGGGAAATGTACTGAATATATCCATTACCTGGAATAGCACTTTAACTTACCTCATGCTAAACGGAGCCGATATCCAGGAACAGAAGCCCTAAAAAAATATTAAGAAATAAAATAAACAGTAACCGGTATATTATCAGTAAAAGAAGTGACAGATAGAAAAACAAAATGAAAAACACACCATGATAACCATGGAGCAAGGAGTTAAAGCTAGCCACACACAGATAGAATTTCATTTGAAAGCAGCCATTTTTTAAACATTCTTTTGATTTTCTAATGGTTGTTAGGGACAAATTTAACGATCGTCTATGACTGCAGTGAAAAAAAAAAAAAGTGAAAGATGGAATTTCTCTTTTCTTATCTGAAAGAACAAAATTCTAAAGCTGGTCATATATTATACACATTTCTTGTACAATTTTCCTTTAGATGTACCAAAACCATATAACATGAGGTCAGACCTCAACACTTTCAATTTGTATGCAATCAGGCAGGCCCTTGCACCACATAAATAAATCAAAACAAAAAATTTCCTTACACTACATAGTTGAAGATAAATCTAAAATAAAATTGAATAAAATTGTCTAATGTATTGCCAGCTTAACTGGGAATGTGGTTTTTTTTTTGGGGAAAATAGAAAAGTCAGAGAAAAGACTGTACAACATTTGTCCAGGTTATAGTAACACTTTCAGATACTTGTCTAATGCTGATAGCTGTATATTTGACTAGTAGACTATGCAGAGCACAACACCTGGCTAATACATACAGTTGTATGCTTTTTATGTTTAAAATGGCTGACAGGTTCACTTTAACTACTTCCCGCCTGGCCTTTTGTCAAGTGGCGGGCCGGGCAGCACTTTCGTCTTTCCAGGTGGAAGTCATTTGACGTCCTACCAGAAATGGGCCACACTCCAAATTAATTAAACGTGTAAATTAATTGGTGTAGGTGAAAGTTATAGCATCTACAAATGGCGGTATATATACTAGAAAAGTGCAAGTGGTTAACATACTTTCAGCAGTCAGTGTCCTCGATCACTGTCACACCAGTTACATGAGGACCCTGTACTGCACTGGTGACCGTATGAAACAAAAAAAAAAAAAGTTTTAATCTCTTCATTTTCTAACAAATGACAAAAAAAAAATTTAAAAAAATTTCAAAACAACTCACCTTGCCTCTTACTAAATACCTTGGACTGTCTACTGTCTAAAAATGGGTAATTTGTACTCTCCTGGCATTTTTGGGCCTCAAAAAATGAGACAGGCTGTCAACACACCTGGATTCATTGATTTTCATATATACAGTGGGTAAAAAGTTGAATAAATCACCATTTTTCTTGGTAAATATATATTTCTAAAGATGCTATTAAAATGGAATTTTCACTACATGTCGGTAACAACCCATGCAATTCATACATAAAAAGAAACCAAACAAATAAGTTCAGAGATTAAACGATGTATAATAAAATGGAATGACATAGGGAAAAAGTATTGAACACACTAACTGAAATTTATTTAATACTTCGTACAAAAGCTCGACAGCTTTAAGACGCCTCCTGGAGAAGAAACTATTCGCATGCATTGCTCAGGTGTGATTTTGCGCCCATTCTTCCACACAAACAGTCTTCATTCTTGAAGGTTCCATGGGCCTCTCCTATCAACTCTGACCTTTAGTTCTTTCTATAGACTTTCTATTGGATTCAAGTCAGGTGATTGGCTGGGCCATTCTAGCAGCTTTATTTTCTTTCTTGGAAACCAATTGAGTTTTCTTGCTTTGTGTTTGGGATCATTGTCTTGCTGAAATGTCCATCTTCGTTTAATCTTCATCATCCTGGTAGATGGCAGCAGATTTTTTTTATCAAGCATGTCTTGGTACATTTTTCCATTCATCCTTCTTTCAATGATATGAAGTTTGCCAGTACCGTAAGCTGAAAAACAGCCCCACACCATGATGTTCCCACCTCCAAACTTCACGGTTTGTATGGTGTTTTTGAGGTGATGTGCAGTGCCATCTGACCTTCAAACATGGTGTGTATTATAGCATCCAGAGTTCAAAGTTGGTCTCATCTGACCAGACTATATCCTCCCAGTATTTCACAGGCTTGTCTAAATGTTGTGCAACAAACTTTACATGAGATTCAACATGCTTTTTCTTCAGCAATGGAGTCTTGTGTGGTGAGCATGTATACAGGCCACGGCAGTTGCACGCATTACTTATCATTTTCTTTGAAACAATTGTACCTGCTAATTCCTGGTCTTTCTGAAGATCTCTACAAGTGGTCCTTGACTCTTGGGACAACTCTTCTAATAATTCTTTTCACTCTTCTGTAAGAAATCTTGCAAGAAGCACCTAGTCATGGCTGGTTTATAGTGAAATGATGTTCTTCCCATTTCTGGATTATGGCCTCAACAGTGCTCACCAGAACATGCAGAAGTTTAGAAATTCTTCTGTAACCAATGCCATCAGTATGTTTTGCGACAATCAAATTGTGAAGGTCCTGAGAGAGCTCTTTGCTTTTACCCATCATGAGATGTTTCTTGTGTGACACCTTGGTAATAAGACACCTTTTTATACGCTATATTCAGTTGAGACTGAACCAGCTGACAATAATTTGCACTGACAAGGGGCAGGGATTACCTTCATAATTACTGAAAGATTTCAACTGGTGTCTTGGCTTTCCATGTGTTCAATACTTTTTTCCTGTTTCATTCCATTTTATTACACATAGCTTAATTTCTGAACTTATTTGTTTTGGTGTCTTTGTATGTATGGATTACATGGGTTGTCACCAACATGTGGTGAAATTTTCATGTCAATAGCACCTTTAGAAATATATTTATTGAGAAAAATGGTGACATGTTCAATACTTACTTTACCTGCTGTATATACCTTGGATGGTGGACTCTATAACTTTCCTACAGACTAAACAATAAAACACTGATTTTGCATTATTTTAACCACAGAAATGTAGCGTGGCCTAAAATTTATGAAGAAAGATGATTTATTTTTTCAAAATTTTATAATAGAAACGAAGAAAAAAAAAATCCCAGTGGTGCTTAAATACCACCAGACGGAAGCACTATTTGTGTGAAAAAATTGATAAAAATTTCATATGGGTAGAGTGTTGCATGATCACTCAATTGTCATTCGAAAGAATTCAAACAGCACTGAAAGCTGAAAATTGACCTGGAAAGGAAGGGGGTGAAAGTGCCTGGTATTGAAGTGGTTAAAAGTGGTGACTGAAAACCTCTTTTTTTTTTTAAGTCTGCGAACGTGCGAAAAAACGAAAAAAACCCGTAAGTGTTCACAAAAATCGCGCAAGTGCAAAACACCACACAAAAAACTGCACTTAGGGGTGTGCTTTGTCCTTCCCCTGAAGGGGATAGACCTCTACCCTGATCCCCCGGGGCACGAAGCTCCTGACAGGGACAAGGTTCCCATGTGGTCCTCCTAGCCAAAAGGCCTGGCGGACCCCATTCCCTGTGGCCAGCCGAGCCAGCCACCAAGTACTTGGTAAGGGGGCTCTCCCGAAGAGAAAACCCCTAGGGACAGGGAAGGAAGGAACCAAAAGGTCACACATCCTCCCCCTAGACTTCAGGGTAGGCCCGAGGACCCACACCCTACCATCCTGTGAGAAAGAAAAACACACACAAAAGTGAAAAGTGACAAACGTGGGGAGAAAATAAATTAAATAAATAAGTGGCCATGCAATTGTGCAATGGCCAGGCCCTGAGGCCCGTAGCAAAAATTGCCCAGGACTTAGCCAAAAGGCCTAGCCCTAAAAGGTGCAGTGCAGAAAAAGTGTAAAATCAGTGACCATGTGCCTTTTCACACATGGGGGTGCCACACCCAAGTGTTACTAAGAGCACCCCTGAGGCGACCACTCTCAGGGGGCACCGATTTGTGGAATTTCTGCCTCCACTGCCCCTGGCCAGACAAGGTAGATCTGCTCAAATCAGGAGGAACTGGGCCCCTCCGGTTTTCCAGGGGGAATTACTCCCGGGCCCCAGCAGCCTGTGGGCGCCTCGGTTTCTGTTCCAGCCTGTACTAACCATCAGGACCCCCATCCTACCAGCAGGGGTACTATACAACCAATCATCCCCGCAAGCAGGAATGATGGTGGAGCACCCCTACTGGACACTGATAAGAACAGATACTACACTTGATCTTAGCCAAAAGGCCGAGAAGCGACTGAAAACCTCTATACCTCTGACACCATCCCTGAGGGTTGAAGGTAATTAGAAGAGGAATGTATACACTTACATACCTTGTCTCTCACCAACTCCTCATCAACTGACGGTGAGATCTCTTCATATGAACTGTTGGTAGAGGAGCAGAAAAACAAAATGTTTTGTCTGACATTTCTGTAATATCACTCCCCCCCCCCCCCCCCCCACAAATATTTAAATTGGGCAGATTTTTTTTGTATAACATGCATCTAATGACAAAATCATTTTCATTTTTGGTGGAGTAGGGAAGGTTTCTACCACTTTCACATTGACAAGCTTTCCTTTCGATACCACAGGAAGAGGAGATCTCCGCAAAGATAGGGAAATCCTCTCAGACAGTTGTCTCTATAACAAGTGTTCCCATTGCAAGATTTCCCTTCAATTCCTGTTCAGGAGGCAACTTAAAATTTTGGATTTTCCTTTATTTTCAGTACTAGTGATAGTGGCCAGACAGCAATAAAAACCTGACAGAGGTTCAAACCCTTCCCAGCTAAGGGCTGTATTCATCATAATGGTTCTCATGTCTCAGTGCCTAGGGCAGGAACAAGCTTTTGAACTATTTTGTAACTTTTTTCTATTTTAAATTTTTCTCTCTTTTGGCTACTTCTGGACATTTGTAGATACAGGGGGTTAGACCAAAAACATGGAAACACTACATGATTTGCAGATGTGAAAGTGACAACATGTTTCGTGCTGAAAGCGGAAGTGATGTAATACGCTTTTGCTTCCACTGTGTGATGAGACACCTAGATAAGGTGGGAAGCCTCGCTTTCATCATTCACTGCGTGCACTGCTAGTAATATGGAGTCATATCAGAGCTTAATGAGCTTCAAAAATTGTAAATTGTTGGTGCCCGCTTAGCTGGTGCCTCTGAAACTGAAGTGCCAATTTTTTTGCCGTGTTGGGAGGTACAATATCAAACGTTATGATGGAATATACAATTTCCGGGAAACCGTCTAATAAGCATAAGTGCGGTCGACATGGTGACCTGACCGGAAAAGACAAATGAACATTGCGCAGGATCGTGCCCCGGAATAAGAGCGGATTCACATATGTGCGGTGCCAAATGAAGATCAGGTTTCACAGCTAATTGACTCAGTAGTTGTTCAGCGGTTCCAGTCTGGATCTTATACTGTTCACACATGTGCTGTTTAGAACTGGATCCCATAGAAGTCAATAGCCTGTAATCCACACCTGAACCGGACTGCACTGCTTAGAAATCAGAGAGCACTTTTCTTCAATTCGCACTGAATCCGCACTGCCAGTGCATCAGACATACAGGTGAAACTCGAAAAATTAGAATATCGTGCAAAAGTTCATTTATTTCAGTAATGCAACTTAAAAGGTGAAACTAATATATGAGATAGACTCATTACATGCAAAGCAAGATAGTTCAAGCCGTGATTTGTCATCATTGTGAGGATTATGGCTTACAGCTCATGAAAACCCCAAATCCACAATCTCAGAAAATTAGAATATTACATGCAATCAATAAAACAAGGATTGTACATAGAACAATATCGGACCTCTGAAAAGTATAAGCATGCATATGTACCCAGTACTTGGTTTGGGCCCCTTTTGCAGCAATTACTGCCTCAATGCGGCGTGGCATGGAAGTTATCAGTCTGTGGCACTGCTGAGGTGTTATGGAAGACCAGGATGCTTCAATAGCGGCCTTCAGCTCTTCTGCATTGTTCGGTCTCATATCTTTCTCTTGGCAGTACCCCATAGATTCTCTATGGGGTTCAGGTCAGGCAAGTTTGCTGGCCAATCAAGCACAGTAATCCCACGGTGATTGAACCAGGTTTTGGTGCTTTTGGCAGTGTGGGCAGGTGCCAAGTCCTGCTGGAAAATGAAGTCAGCATCCCCATAAAGCTCGTCTGTGGAAGGAAGCATGAAGTGCTCCAAAATCTCCTGGTAGACGGCTGCGTTGACCCTGGACTTAATGAAGCACAGTCGACCAACACCAGCAGATGATATGGCTCCCCAAATCAACACAGACTGTGGAAACTTCACACTGGACTTCAAGCATCTTGCAATTTGTGCCTCTCCATTCTTCCTCCATACTCTGGGTCCTTGGTTTCCAGATGAGATGCAAAGGTTGCTCTCATTAGAAAAAAAAGACTCTGGACCACTGAGCAACAGACCAGGTCTGTTTTTCTTTAGCCCAGGTAAGATGCTTCTGACGTTGTTAGTTGTTCAGGAGCGGCTTGACAAGAGGAATATGACATTTGAAGCCCTTGTCCAGGATCCGTCTGTGTGTGGTGGCTCTTGATGCACTGACTCCAGCCTCAGTCCACTCCTTGTGAAAGTCTAACACTTTTGAATGGCCTTTTCCTGAGAATCTTCTACAGGCTGCTTTCATCCCTGCTCCTTGTGCATCTTTTTCTTCCACACTTTTCCCTTCCACATAACTTTCTATTAATGTGCTTTGATACAGCACTTTGGGAACATCCAACTTCTTTTGCAATTACCTTTTGAGGCTTTCCCTCTTTATGGAGGGTGTCAATGATGGTTTTCTGCACAACTGTCAGGTCAGCAGTCTTTCCTATGATTGTGATTCCTACTGAACCAAACAGAGAGACCATTTAAAGGCTCAGGAACCCTTTGCAGGTGTTATGGCTTAATTAGCTGATTAGAGTAGGACACTTTGAGCCGAGAATATTGCACCTTTTCACAATATTCTAATTTTCTGAGATTGTGGATTTGGGGTTTTCATGAGCTGTAAGCCATAATCCTCACAATTATGACAAATCACGGCTTGAACTATCTTGCTTTGCATGTAATGAGTCTCATATGTTAGTTTCACCTTTTAAGTTTCATTACTGAAATAAATGAACTTTTGCACAATATTCTAATTTTTCAAGTTTCACCTGTATGTGAACAGGCACCATAGGAAGGAATGTTATCATTTCACATGTCAAGTGGATTGGATACGGTTCAAACCGCATCCAATCTGCATATATGTGAACAAGCATGAAGAAAACATCTGCTGCAAAAGTGACTGCAGAGCTCAATCTCAGTCCTGTGATGACTGAGATTGAGCTCTGTAGTCTTTTGCAGTAGTAAGGTTTCCCGCCTGTTAGCTAGGTGTCTCATCACACAGTGAAAGCAAACAAGAATGTTAAATCACTTCCACTTTCAATGCAAAACATGTCATCACTTTCACAGCTGCAAATCATTATTATACAGGATTTATATAGCGCAACAGTTTGCTCAGCGCTTTACAATATAAATCATGTGCTGTTTCCATTTTGTTTGTCCAAAACCCTGTACATTTAGCAAGAGAACTGTAAGGAAAGGAGCTGTAGGTGTCATGAGGAGTCGGAAGACTCACTACAGTTAAGAGGATAAGTTTGCCTTTTCAAAAAAAAAAAAAAATAAATGCCCATTTTTTTTTTTCTCGGAGACCAAACAGCCAGTGTATCTGCTTGCCCGTGCATCCCGTACAGGCAAGCAGCTACAGTCTGACAGGAAGACTCATTGAACTACTACGGCACTCAATAGTGGCGTGGTAGAACATTGAGAACTACAAGCCGATACCTGCAAAGGCTGTAGGGACTTGTAGTTCATTCATTCAGAGAACACTGTGAATGAAAGACACGAGCGTGTGGTCGGAGCCCTGCACAGCCGCGTGGTTTTCAAAAACTTACACCTAGTATGGGGAACTTCTCCCCGTACTGCAGTCACAGGGAGGGGGGGGGAAGTAACATGTTCCCAAAGTTGAACTTATCCTTTAAGAAAACATGAAACCACCATATTTCATATTTTTGGAGCTGCGCACAGATATCAGACAGCTTTACATGTACAGCAGACTGCATGCTGCCCCAGAAAGCTCACTCTAGTGATTTTGTTTGAGTTAATATGTACCCACGCATTCCCCTGACATTGGCTAACAATTAGAGGAGTAACAGTTACTGGTAAAGTATAGCTTGCTGGCGTTGTCAGTTGAAAAATCCAAGTCAGGCTTTCCTTTAGCACATCTCTTGATTTTTTTTTTTTTGACAATCCAAAACTAGTATTTTAGTCATTAATGTGCAGTGCTACTTTCATATTTTATGTTCTTGTTGCACCACCCATGTTTTGCAATTGTGACACCAATCTCAAATACTCACATGACACATGATCACATCGCATGATTTCCCCTCTATGTTACCACAGCTCCTTCCAGGAAATGCATAGAAGTTTTACATATTCTTTTTTTCTTTATTACAAAAAAGGTCAAAATTATAAAAAAAAAAAAAAAAAAAATTCCTGAAACTCAATATGTCAATCTAAAAATTTACACTAGTGAAGGAACCAGAGCAGGGTCTCCGTCCACCTCCTCCATCAGAAGAGTTATTCAGAGATCGAGTACCTGAATGGAGACAGATGCCTACTATATATTTTTTTTTGAAAAAACATAGTGCTCTGGGAATCCTTTGTCAAAAGTTAAACATATGAAACTATTTATATAGTATATTGGGACAATGCGAGGCCCTACCACTGTGAAAATGGTTGAAAAAAGGACACAGGGTTTGCATGTATGCAGAGCGCGAGACTCCAGAATATCAACTATGAGTGGAGAAAATTGATTTTACAGCTTTCTCCAGATTTTTATATTCCTGGATTGGGCTCTGTACTTTGGAGATTCCAAAGTGTTTTGGGAGAGAAGAAATTACCAACCCAGTGTCCAGGTCTTGTAGAAGCCCAGCAGGGTGTGTGTCCAGGTGTGCACAGAACTTATAGTCATAGGCTTGGGCATAGCCCAGGGCTCCCGTCAGGAGACAGGTGTGTTCTCTATCCAAGAAACAGGTATACTTCCATCAGGAGACAGCACTCCATGTTGGAGGAGAGATTTCTTGCCCACAGGACAGAGTTGGGACAGCTAAGAGAGTCTGAAGGACTGTGAGAGCTGAGGTGACTAGATGAGTCCAGGGGACTGAGGAAGTCTCCAAGTCTCAGAAGAATGAAAGCCTGAGGAGCCAGGAGATCCCCTATGGAGAGGCCAGGAGTGGGCCCATGCAGCAGGAGGCTGTAACTACACGCTGAGTGAGTCAGGTGAGCTGGGTGAGACGCTCTGAGGGACAAGTGAAAAAACAGTGATGCTGTTGAAGAGGGAGCCAGGTGACTTGGCATTTTCTGATATCTGTTCTGCTAGCGAAAAAACCCTGCATGGGCAACTGTCCTGTTTTCAACTTTTTTTTTTTAAAAGGGTTACTAAACCCACAACAGTAAAAGCAGTCTGTATATGCAGTAAAGCATACTTGTTATATTCACTGTAGAGCCTAAGGGGTTAATCCACAATGTGTAAAAAGGCTGTTTGATCCTGTCTTCTCCGATCCTCCCCTTCTTCTACTGTCCCCAATCCATCTCCAGATAGTACAAAGCCCTAGGAGTCACTGCACATGCTCAGTTTGGTGTGTATTGCTAGAGAGCTTTTTTTCTTTTTTGGGAGGGTACATGTGATCAGCACAGGGCCAATCAGCACTGTCCAGACAGAGGGACAAGGGTTATGCAGTCTCATAGGACAGTCAGAGGAGAAAGAAAACTCCTCCTACAAGATTAACCAGTGCTCAGTTGGACACTGATAGAAGTCACAAGACTGCTATTTACTGCTGATGAGAAAAGGTATTTAGCAGTTCATATTTAGTAAAATAATTGCATTTCCATGTTCTGTGCGAGACCAGACATAGTCAATGCAGGGTCCTGGGTTTAGTAACACTTTAAGTTTGTTTAATAAAAGTGGGCTGGCAAGCCTTAAAATCACAGACCGCAGTTCATACTGCCATGGACTCACCAAAAATGCTTCTAACACTGAGCTGAAGTCATCACACACACACACACACACACACACACACACACACACACACTTATAATTAAATGTAGAATTAAAAAAACCTGTCAAATAAAACTGACTTAATACTCAGACAGAGCTGACATACCTGTCTGCGGCATACACAAGGGCCACACGGCCATAGTCCCAGAACTTCTTGCGGATAAAGGAGAAGAGCAAAAGTAACAGCTGAAACACACAAATATACAGAGATTTGCTCATTTTTACTAACTATAGTTATAGTCACATGGCCTACCAGGAGCAATGTGGCGATCTCACTTTTTAAGACACTGTGGAAAGTCAGTTTTTTTTCAACCTGGCCTAGCAGAGCTATAATGAGATATGAGGATCAGCATGGTACAGACACTGACACACCTCTCTACTGAGCACAAAGGAAAGTCTGAAAAATGTAAAGTGTAAGTATGGCTGTCCCCATGACAAAAATTGTTACATGCTAAGCATAGACCTAGGGTTTTAATACATTAAAAGAGTATGTAAAGCCAACATTTCATATTCCTGATATGTGTCTGCTGTACCGTGTACTTGTATGAAAAAATATCCTGTTTGCTTTGTATGGTTTCCTTTATGGGAAATCCTTGGTGTTCCTGCCAGTCCCTCCGCTTTCCTATTAAAAACTGACCACATCAGGCATGAGAGCTCAGCATGGTCAGTTCTCTAGCTGCTCTCCTCCAATGATCAGACTTCTGCTCACACATCTTCCCCCGCCCCCTGCACAGCTATACACTATGAAGTTGAGTGTGCTGCTGTTTCTCCTCCCCAGCTCTCTGTTCTCAGCTGCATAAGGAGCATGGATGATATGTGCTCTCTTGTAAAACAAAGTAAATAAAAAAAACAAAAAAGTATTTAATGTTTTTTTTATCTATACACAAATGTTTTGCCTTTCATTTCTATTTTAAATGTTTTAAAAGATGAGGGTTTACAAAGACCTTAAAGTGTAAGTAAACCCCAACAATGAACTGCTCTTACCTGCCCCCTTTTAGTCTGGTAAATATACTATTGAAAGTGTTTTGTTATATCTGTTCGATAAGGACCTCCGACTTCATGTGACATCTGCAGTGTCAGAAGATCTGCCAAGGTCGCCAGTGTGAACTGAAGAACACCCCACTACGTAATGGAGAAGAGTCATTACACACTTCCTGTCTTCGGGTGACAACACTGCTCCTTCAGAGATACAGCACAGCAAGTCAGCATTGCCACGTGTGGACAGGAAGTGTATTATTGGCAGGATCACCAAGTGAAATAAGGAAATATATAAAACTGATGGAGTCACCCCATCTAAGATATAGTAAGCTGTAAAAGATTTCATTTTTGTTCCTTCCAGGGCAAAGTGACAGTGTCTCTGCATGGGGCTCCCCTGACCCACTCATTCTGAAATTGCCTGTGCGCCCTCGCTGCCCAATTCTCCAGTGCAGATGCCAGTGAAATCACAGGTGTCGGCAATGATCCCAGTACCTGTGCAGTTCTTGGCGGTGTTCACAAATGTCTGACACAGATCAGTCTCTGTTGAAGCCTCTCTATTTCTGACTTCCAGACTGCAATATTGTAGCAGAAGGGGAAGACTGGAGACATGATGCTGCCTCCTGTCTGCAGCAAAGTGAGGACATCATCTCATCCTGGGCAAAAGCCACTGTACCAATTTGTATTGATAAAAGCACTGTTGATCTTGTCATTTGTGACTTGTCAGGAATTTATTTATACATACTTATAATTACTGAACAGAATGGACAACACCTACCACAAAGCAGGCCACATCTAACACCAAAACCGTAGGGATTCCACCAAAAGTGACTCCTTGCAGCACAGTGCTTCCCGTGTGGCCACTGTAACAATATGGCTGTGTTTTCATTTGATGCATTCCCTAAACGAAATTCATTCCAAGTGGAAAAGGTGTGACCCGGAGAAGAAAAAAATAATCGCATGGTCCACGGGAGAGATCTAAGTGAGAGGAAGGAAGTCAGCGGTCTTAATCAAAGGAACAATGCTTCTACACAAGAGGAAACAACGTCATCTTTATTCATCTCATTCTCTCTATTCAGTTTCTGGATTCTCTTCCTAAAAGGCAATAAATCTTATCATTTCTCAAAACGTATTGGAACAATGTTTATTCCCTTCTATCCTGGGACAAAACAAAAAAAGGGAGGAAACAAATTCGTAATGTCACACAAACACTCTTGGACAAAAGTATTCATCAACTGCATAAGATCTAAAATCAACATGTGGATGCCTCTGTAAACTTGGGGGAGTTGTCAATATAGAAAGACACACCTGAAAGCTCTTCCTAAATTGTGTGTCTGGCTAAATTAGCAGTCTGGTGCTTTGGCAACCAAATATCAATTAAGGTGATCAAAAACTTTTTGCACATGTAACATTATCATATGTTTTGCAACCCATGGTGTATAATCTACCAGTAAAATAAAAATGTGATAAAGATTGTTAACGCAGAATATATGTGTGGAAAGCCCCCACATTTTCAAAACCAAGCTGTCCAGAGGATTTCAGCCGAACTATCCGTTCGACATTTAAATGAAATGAAACCCCCCAGGAGGACCCCCTGCTGAACAGGCCTACATTTTTTGTGTGATACGGCGCTGTGTTACATTAACTGACAATTGCACGGTCATGCAACGCTGCACCCAAATTAAATTTATGTCCTTTTTTCCCACAAATGGAGCTTTCTTTCAATGGTATTTCGTTGCCCCTGTGCTTTTTATTTTTTTGCACTATTAAGAAGAAAAAAAAAAAAGGCTGACAATTTTGAATTAGAAAAAAACAATACTGTTGACTTTTTGTTATTAAACATGCCCAGTAAAAAATGTTTTAAAAAATGAATGTTTGTCAAATTTAGGCCAAAATTTATTCTGATGCATGTCTTTGCTAATAAAAATCCCAATACGTGTAAATTGGTGTACGTGAAAGTTATAGCGTTTACAAATGACGGTGTATATACTGGAATTTTTTTTTTTTATATTTGTTCTTACTAGCAATGGCGGCGATTTTTTGTGACTTATAGCGGGACTGCGGCTGGCATTCTGACACTGGGTGGGAACTGACTTGATGTCACCGACATCCCCAGTGACACCAATACAGTGATCAGTGCTAATAAAAAGCACTGACACTGTACTAATGACACGGAGCAGGAAAAGGTTAACATTTGGGGCGATCTAAGGGTTAACTGTGTGCAGTTTTACAATTGGGGCCGTGTGATTCATTGTAAGCACACTGCTTTGGATGGCTCTGCTATGCAGAGCCATACAAAGCAGAGTGCAGGAGCTGACGTGAAAGATCTGTATTGTTTACATACAGGTCTCTCCCCCGTCAGAAATCCTCAGAGATCACCGGGTGCCGGCCGGGACCTAGTGATTGACAGCCGAGGCCATGAATAGCAGTGAGCGCATGCCCCCTACCCGGAACTGCAAAATTATATATATATATATATATATATATATATATATATATATATATATATATATATATATATATATATCTATCACACACACGATTTTTCAAACCTGTGCTGCCCTGTAGCAGTATTTCTGGTATAGGGCAGCGAGGAAGCAGTTAAAGAGCCCCTGTTACCAGACCATTCATATCAACAACAATTTTCCTAAAAGATTATATGTGCATTTTTAATCTATTTTCTGCATCTTATTGATCTGTAAAAGCCTCTCTTGTGTAGACATCCAAAAAACCCTGAGACAGCTGATGGACGCTGCCACTTTGGAGGTGGTGTGAGCAGACTCCTAGCTGTCACTCAGTGACACTCTAGTCCAGCAATGGGCAAACTACGGCCTGGCGGACCTTTTAATCCGGCCCGCGGAGCTAGGCTCCCACTAGGCTCCTCTCACAGTCCGCCCTGAAGACCGGTGTAGCATGAAAATCTGTCTCCTATGAGGATCTGTCCCCCTCGACGTATCTGCGCATGTGCCAGAGATCGCCGATCGGCTGCTAATGCCTGAAACTGGCACATGCGCAGATACGTCGAGGGGGACAGATCCTCATAGGAGACAGATTTTCATGCTACACCGGAACGGCGCGGGAATACGGCGAGAGGAACGCGCGGAGCAAAGGTAAGTGAATTGACACAGGGGGGACTTAATATGGGGGATGAATTACTATATGGGGGATGAATTACTATGGGGGATGAATTACTATATGGGGGATGAATTACTATGGGGGATGAATTACTATATGGGGGACTTGGGGACTTAATATGGGGAATGAATTACTATATGGGGGATGAATTTACTATGGGGGGATGAATTACTATATGGGGGATGAATTACTATATGGGGGATGAATTACTATATGGGGGATGAATTACTATATGGGGGATGAATTACTATATGGGGGATTAATTACTATGCTTACTATGGGGGAATATTACTATACTTACTATGGATGACACATACACATCATTCATCTACTCTTGGTCCGGCCCCCGGGTCCAATATATGAACCCATTGCGGCCCTCAAGTCAAAAAGTTTGCCCACCCCTGCTCTAGTCTATAGTATTCCCCTTTGCTCCTCCTCCAGCAGCAACAAAAAAGGATATATTAGGGAGGTGAGGGGAAGAGTGGAGGAGCTGGGCCAGCACAGAAAGTAATTAAACACTCAGAAGCAGACAGGGCTATGACATGCAAGAAAGGAGGGGGTTGTGTAAGGGAAATTACTCTCCTAGGGTAGTCAAAATGTTCAAGTGAGTTCAAAAGGTGCAAGAGAATGAAAAAAAAAAAATGAAGGGAAAAAAAAAAAGAAAAAAAAGGGAAGAAAACATTTAAAATAATTGATTTTTGGTGCCTTAACTAATTTTCCATTTGTTTAATTGGTGAAGAAAAAAAAAAAAAAAAAAGTCTGAAAAAACAGCTTTTTTTTTTCTTCCCTTTAAGATAACATATACGCAACATACAATTTTTTTCAAAGAGCAAGATATGTTTTGACAAACAGTTTGTGATCTGTGGAAATGATTGCTCATTGAAACCCTTTATTGACGTGCTCTGGAATATATACATGAAATAAATGGTGTAAATTTTATTGGGGATATCTGCACTAGTGCTTTGCAGTGCAAGTAATCCTGAAGAATTACTGTTTCATTTATGAGTTGTAATTGTAAGTTTGTTTATGGCTGGGTGTATCTATATTTCATACTAGCGCAGACTTTAAAGATAGTACTTTGCTACAATGTTAACATGAGGCATGAAAAGGTTCACACCATGGTGCAGAGACTAGTTTTTCTGCACAAGTTCTGCAAAAACACAACAAAATCAATTGTTCTCTATGTGCCCTGTTCACACCACAACACTGGTATCACGTGCAGATTTTTTTCTGCCCAGGAATTTGAAACCTGTCTAAAATGCATTGAAGCGCGCATGAAAACTGATGTAACCGGATGTCTCTGCAAGTGAAATCTGCTCATCAGTTTCCATCAGTTTTTCTGTCACAGTGAAGTCAGATGGCATACCGATTTCAAGTGCGATTTGCAAGACATCTGATACAGATGTCTATGCAAATCACACCAAAAGTAGTGCATGTACCACTTTAGAAATCGGTGTGCTCCAACCAAGTCGGAACCGCACCGATATGACCGCTCTAATTGTGGACAATAGGCTGCGATTTGCAAGTTGCATGGCATGCAAATCACATGCCAATTTGCATCCAGTGTGACCAGGTCTCAAGGTGTGCACAAGGCCTAAGGCCTCATGTACACAGGACGCTTTTGCAGCCGCTTCTAGGGGCATCATATGTTCTTTTTTCCTGCCTCTAAATTCCCCTGTATATTAGCCTATGGGGTTTTATTTACTAAAACTGGAGAGTGCAAAATCAGGCTCACTTCTGCACAGAAACCAATCAGCGTCGAGGTTTTACTGCCAAAGCTTAGTTGAACAAGCTGAGGTTAGAAGCAGATTGGTTTCTATGCAGAAGTGACTCTGATTTTGCACTCTCCAGCTTTAGTAAATAAACCCCATTATGTCCATGCACACAAACATTTAGCAGCATTTAGTAACAGGGGCTTTCAGAGGCAGAAAAGAAAACCCATTGCCAGTGCGTCCAGAAGCAGCAGAGTTTTGGCAGAAAAAACGCTTGTCATTTGTAATTGTGTCTAAAAGCGTGTTAACATGTCTAGGGAATGAAATTAATTAACACCCAAGCACTTGACGCCTCTAAACATGCCTAAAAGAATACACAATTTTACAAGCAGCAAGTGTTTTTTTTTCTACCAAAATGCTGCTTCCAGGAGGAAAGGCTTCTAGGAGAGTTTGCAAAATGTCCAGTGTGCATGAGGCTTAAAGGTCTTTTGCAGGGAAGGGAAGCCGCTGGAGCAGCACGGCTATCACTGTAGGTAGCACTGACTACTAGAGAGATTTTTTACATCCCCAGGAGCCCCCTGGATATTGGATATACATACTTGCATCAAGCCAAGCTGGACACGGAAAAGTTTGCAAAAATTAGGGAAATCTGCTTCAGCTCATTACATACACTATATTGCCAAAAGTATTGGGACACCTGCCTTTACACGCACATGAACGTTAATGGCATCCCAGTCTTAGTCCATAGGGTTCAATATTGAGTTGGCCCCGCCCTTTGCAGTTATTACAGCTTCAACTCTTCTGGGAAGGCTGTCCACAAGGTTTAGGAGTGTCTATGGGAATGTTTGACCATTCTCCCAGAAACACATTTGTGAGGTCAGGCACTGATGTCAAACGAGAAGTCTCCACTTTAGTTCATCCCAAAGGTGTTCTATGGGGTTGAGGTCAGGATTCTGTGCAGGCCAGTCAAGTTCCTCCACCCCAAACTCGCTCATCCATGTCTTTATGGACCTTGCTTTGTGCACTGGTGTGCAGTCATGTTGGAACAGTAAGGGGCCATCCCCAAACTCTTCCCATAAACTTGGGAGCGTGAAATTGTCCAAAATGTCTTGGTA